CTTTCTTTTGAAAAGTTTATCTAATACAATATTAATTAGATTTTGCTGCAAAGAGCCCACCACCACCCCCGTCGTATTTTCAGTATGCAAGATACGACGGTCCTCTTTGATTGATTATGTTATAAAAATAAATACAAAATTATATAGAAGTTATATCGTTTTAAGGCCATTGCGTTTTTCTAATTTAATCATCAATTTCAATTCAACAAGAAATATCAACAATTACTTATCAATCTTCTGTAAGAAAATAATACAGATATCTTTAGCGCCTCTAGGCCATTGTCTATTTCTAATTTGCGCATCGTCAGCTTCAATCCAAGTGTTAGATATTGCTTCTCTACATATACTTGTGTAGTGACCTTTTTCGATACATGATCCATGATGGAATATAGCACTCATTACTTTGTAGAATTGTCCAACAATGTTTATTTTAGTTGTTGGGACAGCACGCAAAGTAAATTTATCTGTTTTTGATTGTATACCGTCTTGAACTGATATTAAATGAATGACCATTATATTTCCGATTAATGTAAATTCACTTTTACATAATATGTCATTTCCTGTGCAATTTTTGCATGATTCGTTCTGTAATTGATAATGAGAAAACGTTGCATTAAATAATTCATTAAGATCTAAACTTTTTTTCTTCCATTTATTTACAGGAATTGAAAGAAGGATATTATTTTTAACAATAGTCGTTGTATTATTACAACTTTTGCATCGTTTAACAGAAGTGACTTGATGCTCGATTAAACTTTTTATATAATCATATTTTGTACAAAGAGCTGTAAGAAATTCACATGCATACCGTTTAACGCTTTTTGAAAAAAAATCTCCTAAACATTGCCGTATTAAACGTATATATTTAAATTAGGCAATTTGTTTTCATATTGATGCATTAATGTATCTAAGACATTTGATTTATCATAATCAAATATTTGTTTTCTAATAGCATTTAAATCAATCTCTGGTCGCTCTTTTGAAACCATTATCCCGTTGTTGCTAGCAGAATATGGTATTGCTTCTGTAAACAAAATTGTAATTTATCACAGAAAAGCAAATTATAATTTGAATAAATAGATAATAAATACTTTGTATTTTTCTAAACTTATTTGAAATTACATTACATACCACAAGTTACAAGTGTCGTTGTCATTAACAGATATTTTCTCTCAATTCTCTCTTTGGATCCTACGGAAATCATACGTTTTCAATAAATAACAGTTAAAAATAAACAATTGTATTATAGCTTTGAATTTATAGAAAATGTATGATCTCCGTAGGATCCAAAGTTTACTGATTAAAGTTTAACGCAATCAAAATATCAAAACAATGTTGCGAAGAAGCGAAATCACAAACACAATTCACTCATAACCTTTCACTTATAACATCAAGATTTATTTTCATATTATTACTTATTCTAGTATATATATTTTCATCATACATATATACATACTTAGATTAAATAATAATAAAATAATAGCGCGAGGCGAGACATCGTGTGTCTTGTTGACATTGAATTGAATACACCGCCACTATATCTATCACCGCCACCAGCGCACCTAACGCCAAAAATTCCAAACTGTACGCTTCAGCCGTACATCCGTCGACGACGACTGACATGAAAATAGATGAAATTTAGACTTTTCAACTTTAAAAATTAATATCTTTTTATGTACACCACGCACAGCAAAAACAAGCACACTTTAATAACATAATTCGGGTACGCGCTATCGGTTGAGCCTACTTTGAAATCAATCGGCCCAGTCATTATTGAGATCCGATAATCTCGGCTCGTCTCAACTTTCGGTCTCGCGTAAAGATACACGGTCGGTCTCGCGTCAAGTCGCTTTGCGTTTTATGCGCTACGCGTGAACTTGGCGCGAGACACTACCGTGTCTCTTGATATTGTGTGCTGCCTGGGTATAATAGATAAAGCAATCGTCCGACATGTAGAAACATATAAAAAGTTCCAAAGTCAACTTTGTTTTGCATGGAAAATTGTTAACCTGTGCGAGTCGCACAATTATAGATTTTACTTTGGTTATAATTCAATTGTATCAAAAAGTTTCAGGTGTGACATATTGTTGCAGCGGAAAAAATTATAGAAATAAGATAAAATTTTCTTTAAAATCCATAATTATTGATGGCAGATGAAGAAGATTCATATAAGATAAGATTTCTTTTCGTTCTAAATTTAAAAAACTTTATAAATTCATAAATTAATGTTATTTTTTTATTCACTCTCATATGTATTTTATATATTTTTATTTCAAATATAATTTTTATTGGAATATAAACAAGTTAAAAGTTTACGCCTGTTTTATTTGCTTCAAATAAAGAAAATACTAGAGAGATAAAAAATAAATTTTATGCAAATAATGTAAAATAGAACATAAAAAATTAAAAAAGAAGCTTTGTTGTACATATGTGTATGTATATATAATTGTTATTTTTAGTTCTACAAAAAATGTCATAATAAAAAATATTTGAAAAAAATGATATACAAAAATATTGGAAAAAAATGTTTAAAAAAATATACAAAAAGAAATATGCTGTCAGAAAAAAGAAATGTTTATAAGTTCTGTTTCTTCATCTGACCCATTAGAAGGATCATATGCCAATAATTTTTCAATTGTTCAAAATTCTGTGAAAATCAATAATATTTTAAGCAATGTATCATCTCAATTTAGTATTAGTCCATCTTGTACTCCTGCTGAAAATGCTGAATTGTTTTCATGCCATAATTTGGAATCATCAATTGAAATAAATTAATAAATCATCTTAGATGTTGGGCAATTGCACATCATATTGCTCTAGTTGCTGTTAGCAATTTATTACAAATTTTAAAATTACATTTCAAATTAAGCTCATTGCCTTTAGATGCACGCACTATTTTAAAATTGGAAGATGTGAGTAACAAAATAAGTAATCTGCCTCCAGGGAAAATACTATCACTTTAGATTGAAACACAAGTTATTATTACAATTAATCTAGAATAATTTTAAAGGAGATGAAGTCAACATATCAATTAATATTGACGGACTTCCTCTAACGAAAAGTAGTGGCAGCCAATTTTGGCCTATTTTGATAAAAATTGATGAATTAAAACAACTTAGATCATTTCCAATTGCTGTTTATCATGGAGAAAATAAGCCTAATAATAGTAATATTTTTTTACAAAAGTTTACTGAAGAAATGAAAATTTTACAAGATGAAGGTTTGCATTTAAATAATCGAATTTTAAAAATAAACATTAGCAAAATTCTTTGTGATGCTTTTGCAAAAGCCTTTATATTATGTATAAAAAATTTCAACTCTTATCAAAGTTGTACCAAATGTTGGGCCGAAGGATTATTTATAAAAAATAGAATGACTTTTCCAGAACTAAATTCAAAACTAAGAACAGATGAAGAATTCCTTTCTCAAACTGATGAAGATTATCACAAAGAGAAATCTGTTTTATGTGATTTAAAAATTGGTCTTGTCTCAGGTGTCCCTTTAGATTACATGCATCTGGTATTATTGGGAATTATGAAACGCTTGTTAGGTTTCTGGATAAAAGGAAACCAAGAAGTTCGTCTAATAAAAGAAAATATTAATGCTATTAATGAAAAACTGAAATTGATATACGAATCAACTCCGTACGAATTTGCAAGGAAACCTAGGCTAATAACAGAGTACGAAAGATGGAAAGCCGTCGAATTCAGGACTTTCTTGTTATATTATGGTCCATGGTTCATGAAACCATTTTTAAAAAAGCAATATTTTCTCCATTTTCTTTCTTTGCATTGCGCAATTCGAATATTGGTATGTGATGATTTGATAAAAAAATATATTGATTATGCAAATGAATTATTAATATATTTTGCAAGAGAGTTTGGTAATTTATATGGATACGAATTTATTAATCATAATGTTCACAATCTTATTCACTTAACATTAGATATAAAAAAATTTGGTTCACTGGATACATTTAGTTGTTTTTCATTCGAAAATTATTTGCATAAAGTTAAAATGATGTTGAAAACGTCAAATAAACCATTATCACAATTCATAAAAAGAGTTAATGAATTTGATAAATATACTTGTCACACGATAGAACAAACAATTTATGTCAAACAAGATGGTTTTCGTTTAATAAATTGGCAGAATAAGATTAATAAGTTGGCAGAACATTTTTCAGCAATTCATCATAAAGGTTTCAGAATAGAAAGTAAGGAACCGAATTGCAATTTTCTGTTAAAAAATAATAAACCTATAAAAATAATTGATATTTTCCAAATTGATAATACATTTTATAGTAAATACAAATACTTTAAGATAATACCTTATTTTGATGATCCAATGAACAGTAATATCTTTTGGTGTGGTCTTGTTGAAGAAATTGACCAAGAAAATATTACTTCTGCTAATAATATATTAAGAAAAGCTTTCAAAATACAGAATTGTTTTTTATTGATATTACATACGGATTGATTTTTAAGGTAAGAAATTGTATGATATCTGAGGTTTACCTATACATATTACAAATACTTTTTACTATTTTTCATTTAATGTGAATTTTTGATTTAAGATAAAATTATATATCTAATAAATTTTAAATTTACTTTAAAAAAATAAAAATATATAATTTATTATCCAATTTTAAATATCTCTCATACCACAAAAAGAAAAAGAACAACTTTTATATTTGCTTTCCATTCGAATAATGTGATAATATATTATTATACATTTTATTTTTCAGTATGCAGTGGTACAATTCGATAATTTGCATTTTTCAGTAGTTCCAACAGGTTGGTTGGAAGAACCAAATCATTGTTATTGGCCCGAAGGCATGAAAAATATCAGAACTGCAATAATTAAAGATATAACAATAAAGAAACATTGGAGTAAACATAAATGTGATATTTTCAGTAAGCATAGTAAGTAAAAAATGAAAAAAAATAGTAAAAAAAGAATTAAGAAAAGATTTTTTGTAGAAACGTCTATTACTCTAATCTAATCTTAATTTATTACTTGTGGTTGTTATGACGAAATATTTATGCATTTATAAATGCGTTACAATTATTGAAATGTAAAATAAACCATTAAAGTATTTGTATCCTTAATTACTAAGGACCAACAACAAGATATTTAAAAAAAATTACAGAATTCTTATCAATATAAAAATATATCAGGGTGTCACAGCAAATAGAATTTATAAAAAATTTTTTTAAATAACAGTTAATTTTTTTATTTTTTGTTTTTTTCTTGATATTATAAGTATTATAATTATTTTGTTCATTTTAAGATACTTATGAATCAGCTTTGAAAGCCGAAAAAGAGGCTGCCGCTTCGTCTGAATCAGAACGTGAAGTAAGACCAGGAAAAAGAAAAATTAAAAACAACAAACTTGAAGACTATGTTGATTATCCTGGCCCTCCAAAACTGCTTTTGTTACACAAAGAATTTAATAAGTCCAATACCGCGAGTGAGTTTTTTGCATTTTAAGATTATTTATATCTATAACTAGATTTATAACTACATATTTTTGTTTCAAAAATATTGATTTATGCATATTAAAAGTTTTTATTGCGCATTAAAAATTGATTTATGTATATTATTTGATAAAAGCTGACATTCTTTTATGATTTTATGATTTTTATGGTTTATAAAAGAACAAGATGTTCAAAACATTAAGTAGTATAATAAATTGCAAAGAAATATTTCGTTTAACATAAACTCTGCTATTCAAATTGTTTATGTATATACAATAATCTAATAGCATATATTTATTTTAAACAAAATTGCACAAATTGAAGTTACATATTTTATGTAAAGAAATTAAATTAATTTATTTAAAGGTTCTTCAGAAGAAAACAGCTACACTTTTGCAATAGATACTGTAGAGATTGCATATTAGTAGCGGTAATTAAAAATATTTTTTAATTTCCCCCCCCCCTTTTTTCCCCCTTTCTCTTTTTCATGATACCTTAGATTTTTCTATTAATTTCATCTATTTTTACATCATCCACAGATAATGATAGTATAACGAATCATATTACTGATGACATACCAGTAATAATTACTCAGGAGACAAATGTTAATGCAAAGAATATAATTCATGTCATGAATGACATTACAAATATAACAAGAAATATTGAAGCTACAATGGAAAGTTTAAAAAAAAAAACAGGAAAAATCTCTCTCAGAAATTCAGGCAACCATTAATATAATTCTGGCAAAAATAAATAATGAACAATATGATAAGGAAAATTTTATACTACAAGATAATAAAATTAAGTAATATCTTCCTTTAGTTTGCACTGAAAATTTTCTCCAGTTTGAAAATATTTTGAAAGATGATCAGAAAGCTTTTATGCAAGTAGTAAGTAAATCTGTTTATTAGTTCTCTGATTATTAGTTCTCTGATTATTAGTTGATCTGTGCATAAATTTCTATCATTTATGTTTAGGTCATTTGTTTGAGAGACAATGATTTCTTTTATCGCGTCCATCTTTTACCTGAAAAACAAAATAAAAACGATAAAAAATTTTAAAAATAAGTACTTTTTTTATTACAGGTTAATAAAATGTTATTAATAGGAGGAAAAAAGAATTTGATTGAAGAATTTGAAAAAGATTTTATTAGAAGAACTTTGACAGCAACATTTACTGATAACTTAGCGTCTATGTGTTCCTGGACGGGACAGAAAAATAATTTCAAAATTGGAGATACACATACTATGATGAGCATCAAAAGTAAGTTGTTCAAAAGTGACACAATCAATATATATTCGGGAATTACAGTCTGATTCAAAAAGTGTTTGTATTCATTATCTAATTATTAAGGAAAAATTAATTAACAAATCAGGAAATCAGAAATGATATTTAATGCAATAAAAAAAAGAATAATATGATAATCATTAACTTGTACTCAACTTATATTCTCATACTTCATCACATTTTATTTGCTTATTTTTGTTAATTGAATTTTGCTTTTATTAATAGTTGCATAAAAATGTTTTTTTTCTCTCAGATTGTAAAGCTCGTTATATATATGTATTGCTTTACCTTGTAACGGTTCGAATTTATCTCGCGGTCTTGTAGTTAAGCGCGGAATAGCTCGCCGGTGCCAGGATCCGGGATAAGCGGTCAGATAGGGAGACTCTAATCAAGTAGACCAGTTAGGGTAACAAAATAACTATATTCTTAGATAAAAGAGTTGGTAATACATTTACAAAGCAATTAAATGGCGCAAGCGATAGCCGTTGAATTAGCGTGTGCGCGGAATAAGCGGTGCGTAAGTGAGAGCGCAAGCTGAGCGGTCTAAAGCGGGGAAGCGCAAGATGAGCGCACAAAAGCGGGAGTAACTAAAAGGTTATGATACGCCGCGGAAGAATACAAGCTTAGAAAATACAAGCTAGAGAATACAAGCTAGAGAATACAAGCTAGAAAATACAAACGAAAGAATACAAACTAGAGGATACAAGCTAGAAAGTGTGAACTAAAGAATGCTTAAATCTACGGAGGAACTGCGGTGTATACGGGACGTCGAGTGCTCCCGACGGAGACAGAGTGCTCCCTGTCTTGAGAGGGACGGTGAACGGACGTCGAGTGCTCCCGACGGAGACAGAGTGCTCCCTGTTTTGAAAGGGACGGTGAACGGATGCCGAGTGCTCCCGGCGTGGACAGAGTGCTCCCTGTCCTTATAGGAACGGATTGCTAGGAAGAGCCGAGTTGGAGTGCTCCCCGGTGGCTCGGGAGATCTGCAGCGTGCTCACTGCAGACCGGGATCGGTGCCTACTGGCCGGAGCGACGGCCTTATATACCCGGCCGTCCCACCCGGCGGCCGCATTCCGGTGACGTATTGCGGCCGGCGGCTTGATGCGCGGCCGATCATCGTGGCCGATTGCGCGACTAGTAACATGGGTTAAGCCCATGTTACAACCTTACCTACTGCATGTATATATTTATAAAAGATACTTCATTTATCGCACTTTCTTTAATATTTTCGTCATCTTGGTACCATAAAAAAAAAGTTACGAAGAACTTATTGTCGGAAAGATAATATTTTATAATATTTTATAATTAAAAAATCAAAGAGTAAGAGTTCTTTAAAGAGAACTTATGATACATGCTTGAATTCGCTTTTTTGTGATCTATAAAAAGAAAATAATAAAAATAATGTTACTAATTTGTATTACTATTGTATTATTATTATTATGCAAAAAATGTTAATGACTCTAAAACACGAAAAACAAATACTTTTTAAAATGATAAAAATGAGAAATTTGTTTATCATAAAATTATTTTTTTCAACGACAAACAACTTCTTTCTAACACATTTTTTTGTAATATAAAAAGATGAAGATAGTAAAATAAGCAGGAAACAAAATCTGCATATATAAAATGTACCTGTGATATGTAATATGTTATATCAATTCCAATTTTTGAGAGTTTATTAAATCATTATAAAAACCAATGGTATGTATGTGTGTCTGATAATATGTACATGGGAAAAGCAGTCACGAGCAAGTAAAAGACATATTGTGTTGAACAGAGAAAAGTCCTACACCATTGTGCAATTTTTACTATAGCTATTGAGATATTAATTAAACTTTTCTGTTCAACGCAATGTTCTCTCACAGATCACAGATTTGGATTTTCATAATTATTTAACAAACTTTCTGAAAAATTAGACTTATTTTTACATGATATATCACATGATATTAAAATTTTAATCACTTGCATCTCATTAAAAAAGATAAGATTAATGTATCTGTTGTCTGCCTTTTTATCTATAATATTTTTCTTTTTTCAGAAGCTTTTAGAGCAGCATATCCTCGCACAACTGAAAAACATTTCGAACATTTTGTCATGGAATGGTTCAGGTTTGCCAATGTTTGCAAACAAAAAAAAGAGGAATTTAAAAAAGCAGCCACGTAAAGTTATTATGTAATGTTAGTTTTAAAAAAAAAGTAATTTAATTTTTATTTTAAAAACTTTTATTTTTTGTTTTAAAATACAATATTATGCAATGCAATGTTATAATACTGTGATACTTTTGACTTTTGGCATTGCTACTATATATGTTATATGCAATACATATTATACGTAGAATATAAAACGAAATAAATATATAATATATTTGTAATAATATTAGAAATAAAAAAAAATATTTTAACTTCTTAATTAATTATTGTTTTACATTCTTTTACATTTTTATTTTATTTTAATTTATAATAATCTATTTTTATAGAAAAAACTTTCTTCCTGCATATGTATATATACTGCCTGACAATAATTTGTTTCGTTTTCCTAGCGAGATGACCATAAAATAATTCTCATCGGGTAATGTACCAAGATTTTTTCTGTATCCTTACATATAAAAAATATATTTTGAAACATTTTAGTAACTTTTTAAAATAATTTATGAATTATTGATTATAATAAAAATTAAATAATTATTTTATCATTATAACATTGGCGCCATATTAATATTTTATTATTTATTTAATATTTCTGGTAAACACACAGTAACATAACATCAATGTTATAAACAATTAACTGCAATATAACATACCTTGCTATACTTTATTGAGTGGAAAATTATAACATTGATGTTATGTTACTTTGTATTTACTAAGAATATGAAATAAATAATAAAATATTAATATTGTGTCAATGTTGAAATAATGATAAAATAAGGTTAAAAGTAAGTTTAAATCTAATCATTTATTTAATGTTATATGAAAAACATTATATTAAAATTATAAAAAACATTTGCACAACATTATTCGTAATATTAAGACACTCCCATTTCAACGTTATTGAAACCTTAAAATCAGTGTCAAAGTTTGTTTATAATGACGTCGATTAGAACGTTAAAACCAACATATTTAACAATGTTACATATTACTAAATATCGTTAAAATAACGTTATATCAATGATTTCTTGCTTACTGGGAATACACACACTCAATTACATGAACTTTATTGAGTCCAAAGTGCATGGTAAGCCAGCATTAGGTTTGTTCTTTATAGCTGAACTAGTGCAGCCAGTTCAGCTATAAAGAACAGTAATAATACGCGTTATCCGAAATAAAGTGTAAAGACTAAAGGTGAAGTCCCATGGAGCTAGCGTACAGCGTACCGGCGTATGGCGTTAAAGAATTTGGCCAATCACAGACTTTATATCCGTTTTCGTTACGCCAGCACAGATCACGCTGATTTGTGCAGTATTCCATCGTTTACGCTACACACACGCATACACGTATATATACTATATACAGTTGTGAAAAGTATAGTTCCTAACCTAATAAAAAAATAATATTGTGAAAAAAAATTGAACACAATTTAAAATAAGCAGAAATTGGCTCACGAATAACAAGTTGTTTCTGTATACGTGGTGAAACAATATGCAACAGTTTTTCAAATGTTTCTGGTGTTACTCGAAAATAACACTAGTTTACAGCCAAAAATTATTTTGAACCAAACAAGCTGTTTCTTATAGATTTTTGGATGCTGAAAACGATGCCGCAAACCAAATTTCACCAGCACGTCAGGTTTCCAAAATAATTGAGGTTTAATAAGTAAAAAATGGGTTTTTTTGCGATATTTGATATTTTTTTGTAAGAAAGATTAACGTTATCTTGAAATTCTGATTAGAAATCATAAATGTATTGTTCATCTTTTATAAAATGCATTGTTTTATTTCGATATCTTACTTTTTAGCCATGTTATGAAGGATTAAAGCTAGGAACCGCAGGAGTGCGCGCGCGCGTCCCCATATTAGAAATAGCTTCTTTGCACAAAGTATTTTCCGGGTATTTGTAAATTTTCAAGTATTTTATTAAATTAATTAACGCAAACTCAGAGTCCAACATTTTAACGAAATTATGCACATTTATTTTGACTTCATGTATGAATGTATGTATTAAAACGTCACGCTGAAAATTTTATCGGCTGTCCCATAGAGCGTATTTACACCGGCGTAATAATCAATGAGCCAATCACTAGATCCCTTGAGTATCCATTTTGAAAATGAGCTTTGTAAAAAGCCATTGTGATTGGTTTATTAATCTTTACGCCGCGTAAATACGCTCCATAGGACAGCCGATGTTTGTGTTGGCGTAACGAAACGGTCGTGCAGCCTGTGATTGGCCAAGTTCCTTTACGCCATACGCCGGTACGTCGTACGCTGGCTCCATGGGACTTCACTCTAATGAGAACGCGTAAAGACCAATGTCCATGGTGCTAGAAATTGGTCTGAGATCTCGATCCGAGAAATGTATAACCAATCAACTTACAGTTTTTATGGAAAAATGGCAATTTGATTAGCTATATGTT